AAAGTACCTTAATGCATGGCTTATCACCCTGTCCTTTTTACAAGTGCTGTCGATTAAAAAGTCTCATTTATTTTCTTTCTTATTCTGGGCAGATTTGCATGTGGTGCTCTCATTTCTAAAGAGAAAAAACTTCAAAATGAACTTTAGAATAAAACCATCTCAAGAACCTCAGCTGTATCTTTGCCTTTGTAACTTTTCCTTCACTGAGAGCTCTTGAAATCAAACGCCAGTAAAAGCACAAGCTCGGCGCTGTTATTTATTATCAAGCACTCGGGGCGTGTGTAAATTTACTCAGCGCTTTACAAGCGGAGATAAAATATCCTGAGAGTCAACACAAGGGATGGCAAACACCAGGGCGGCAGGGAAGGGGAAGGGAGCGCGTCCTGCCCGTCCGACAGCAGGTGGGGCTGCTGCAGTGCGGGCTGGCGGCTGGAGGGAGAGGATGGAGGGAGGATGAAGGCTCCGCAGCTCCCAACCTGCAGGACGCTGACGGCTCCGATTCAGAACCGCTCTGCTTTTCACATCGCTTATTTCATCGCTCCTCTTGGCCTCGGCAAGCCTTAGCCGAAGTTCCCGAGTGCTTTTCTGGGTGTGACTAAAGCAGCGATCAGACAGATCCAGGCCAGTTCGTCACTAACCTGGATCGCATCTCCTGTGGCAAAGCCAGTGACACACAGCCAGCCTACACCTGCCGCTCCTGCCCCGAGAATGACACAGGAACAGGCGAGAGGCACGATTGTAGAAAAGGTAAAGAAGGCTTTATTCAAAATAACAGCGCGGTTTTATACAGCAATACGACAGAGTCTATTTGATTGGCTAACTAACAAAAACACCTTCCTCGCACACTGCCCTTGAAAAGAACAGGAAAACAAAGTAGAAAAACACCACCTGCAAGTTGCTTATGCCTAACAAGTTATCACATCTTTCCAACTCCCTCAAATTTCTCACAAGCCACTGGGAGAAACACTTGCCATTTCTCTCTCTGTCCCATGGCATCCACATGCACCTATGGGAAGCACACTTGAATGACCGAAAAACTGCACTGCATCTCATTTAGAAAACATGCCAACTATTTTTAAAACAATTTTTTACAATACCATCTCCATGTGCAGGTCATTCCCATTGCCCTATCAAATTTAGGAGCATGTCAAAATGATGTTCAAAGCAGAACGCAAGAAAAAGTCCTGAGAACAAATCTTCTTAGCTGAAAGTCTGAAATTTTCAAGTCCAAAGGTCCAGTTATGCTGGACTGAAGGGGAAGCTGAGCCCTTTTTCAGGGAAGAGAATGGGCACGGAAAGTTGGTGCCTGGTTTAGCAACCCAAACCCACTGAAAGATGAGAGCAGCAAGCTCTAAGTGCAGGCAGGCAGAGCTCAGCGAGAAGCCCTGGCTGGCAGAGCAGAGCCCAGGCACTGAGGTCAGCTCTCCTTACCCTGACAGCTCACATGAGCCATGCCACAGGGAACACCAGGAGAGCCCCCAGATTGCTGTGTGCCAGGTGGGCTTGGAGGGCCACTCTTCATCTCTGCTTCTACCACGTCTGAGGCACTGGCAGGATGTTCTGCTGTGGAAACCCAGGGCACTGGGAATGTTTCTCTGTCTGCTCTGGGGCACCCTGACCCCCAGGGGAGCACTGACTTTGACCCTCATCCATGGAGAAAGTTCCCTAGACTTCAAGACACACTAGAATCCACAGAAGTGTGAAATAGATTATAGAGAATAGTAGTATATAGAGTGTAGGTGTATCCCTTGGTGAGAAATTTAGGTTTGGGATTTTTAGTATGTTGTGGATGGAAGCAAGATGGAGGCACAGGGTGTCATCCTGGGTTTCTTCTTCATGGATTTGGCTGGCACTTTGCAATTGGGCAGAAAAGTCTGCATTGTGGGCTTCCAGGGATCAGTTATTGGGTAAAAAGGGAAAATAATCTAAGTGTCAGCTCTTAATTGAATAGTTTAGTCTTAAAAGACCTTGTAACAAGAGATATTTAGCCATTTTGTGCCTTCTAATGAGAAGCTGCAGAACTCATGGTTGTGAGACTGTTTTACTGATAAGAAATAATAAACACCTGAGTCTGAACATGAACTATCATCTCAAGGGCCTTCAATCCCGACCCAGAGAAACCAACATTCTACTGCATGACACAGGCTCTGCCAGCACTTGGCATCTTCCAGAATCAGGCACCATGGGAGGGTTTCTGTTACAGCAGAGACAGCCACCATACCCACAGTGCCACCACACAATTTCAGAAAGCTTTAAGCATTCTCCCAAACACAATAACACCTCACCTCATCAGAAGGCTTCAGGCATCTGCCCACACAGAGTAACATCATGGCACTTCAGAAGGCTGCAAATGTCTGCTCCTTGTGTCCTTCAGCCCCCTTTATGCCCTGCTGTTGGTGCAGTGCCCCTGTGTGCCCTCTGCTCCCTGCGGGGTTGGGCAGCACCCCTGGGCACTCCATGGCTCCTCACCTTCAATAGCATTCACCTGTGCTGCACAGCTGCAGCCCATTAGGGACCAATTAGGGATCAATTAGGGATCACCACAATCACCACCAACCCTGGGCCTTTAGGTTTCAACAGTTCTGGTCATGATTTTTGTGCTGTTACCTCATACTTCTAGCACTGAAGTGTCCACTGCTTTGTCCCCATCTCTCCCCCTGACAAAAAGTAGCTCTACTTAGATAAAACTACTCTTCTGTATGTTGCCTCATTTTCCATCTTTAGTCTCTTAGCACTGGGTCCATATGTGCTGAGGATGTGTCTGGATGGACATTCACATTACTCATGTAAAACACTATCCCTGTTTTCTGCTAGCTAAGCTGAGGGCATCCCATCCACAGCAGCATGGCACTCAGAACAAGCTGCAAAACACACCCAAGGCACAGAATAAACTCTGGGACAATTATTGAACTCAGTCACTGCTAAGTAACCACTCGGTCACTGTGAAATCATTAAGAGCTATCTCAAGGTTTCTCTGCAAGCAGCAGTTGCTGCAGTGTCAACATATCTTGAGATACACACACAAGGTCTCTGGAGACTTGATAAATTGGTTTCTGGCCAGTGCTGCTATTCCCTCTGATGGTTAAATTAAGACAGGCCAACATGCTACAATCACACCTCTATTCTGTCAGGTAGACCTATGGAGATAAAGACAGACCCAAACAAAAAAAGAGTCCCTGCTCACAGCAAGAGACAGATGCATAAAGACAGGCGAAACTGTAATTTTTCCAGAGAACCTAATAATTCCACTGTTTGAAGAGCAGCACACAGAATCAAAATATACACGGGTTGGGCTGGCCATGTCTCAGACACCCCTGAGGTAGTTACAGCTGCTTCTTAACAAGTGCACAGCAGCTCATCAGGCCCAGGGTCCCTGCCTGCCAGCCACAGGACAGCAAGGGGATGAAGGGAACAAGAGTATTAAGAGGGCACGATGCCAAGCTGGGGACCCCTTGACCTTTTTTCTTTTCACTACACAATGCCCCCTTTCCACCACCTGTATGATGCCCCTTTGCAGCATGATGCCCCTTTGCAGGGCCACCACAGTGTCTGAACTTGGAGACATGGCAGGGTTTTCCACTCATACAGGAAGAAAGGGTCAGATAGAAGCATGAAGGAGAGACAAAAGAAGACATAAATGGTTGGAGTCACTTTCAGAAGGAACACAGATGGAAGAAAGCACTGCTCTTTGCCCAGCAAGCTTTGCACTCCCAGTAAGATGCCTGGGTGCAGCAGAGGCACTCCTCTGGGAAAGGAGGAGGAAGCTGCTGTCTGGAGGATGGTAAGGGCTAGAGACAGAGTTTCAGATTTGCACACACCCTCCTTTGAGCAGTGTTTGCCTCACAGCCTTAGCAAATGTGTTCCCTCCAACACATGGCCTATTTTCTTACTGACCTGTATTGCACTGAGACTGCAAGAAGCCTCTGAAACCAGGGGTCTACTTCTCCCCCACAGCCATTTTTACACCAAGTTAGTGTCACTTTTCACAGCAGGCTTAGTCCCAGTTTGCACTTTGCTTGAGAGTAGCATCTTTCCAGATGCAGCAATGCTGAATTAGTGTCAACATTCTTTCCAGAAGCATCATTCCAAATAGATGCCTACCCCTCACAGCAGAAGGGCACACTCTTAAATGTGGTAATTAACAGGCAGCTCTATAAAAAATGCTGTAAACATTAAAAACATGAAATCTTTAGTAGATTTCTTGCATCTGCTGGTAGAGGGTTTGTTTTCCATGGGAGACAAAGCAGTGACTGTGTGTAAATTATGCTCATGCCAAGTGTTAAAATGCAATAACACACCACCCTAGAACATGCATAGAAATGACTGCCTTGCTATCTATTTTGTACTCAAAGCAGTAACTTAATCAACAAAGTAAAGATGAATGGGCTGTTTTACACCCTCATGACAGGAGCTCTTCCATGCTGTTACTTGGAATCAGCAATTCACATTTCCCTCAGAAAACCAAGACCAAAGGGCACAGAGAAGCTTCCTCACTCACATCAGATGAATGCTGGCAATGAAGCCCAAGAAGCCATGCTTAGTCCTTGCAGTAGTCAGAGCCACCACATACATGGCTGTCCACTCTCTATCCAGCCTGGATATTGCTTGCCATATGGGCTGGACAAGGAGCCTCATCTGTGAGCAAAATTCTGAAGCATTCCCTCCTCAGGATACTCCAAACTCCTTTGTGCACTACTTCAGTACAGAAAGCTAAGATGAGCCTGATGCAAACACAATTTCTTCCTTTGTGCTTTGAAGCACTGAGGAAAAATATCACAGCCTAAATCTGGCTTCTGAAGGTGTCTCTGCCCATGGCAGGGGTTTGGAGCTATTGGAGCTACATGATCCCCTAGATGTCCCTTTCAACTCAAGCCTTCCTATGCTTCTATTGCCTCAGGATGTGCTAATGCAACAGCTCTCGTCCTCCTGATGTTTTGTTCTATTTCTCTAACTCTGTCCTCAGGAATTGCCAGCACAGGACAGGAATTTCTGCCACTTACCTTCTGGGGAAATCCCCGCTGGGAAGGTGTAGCAGACGGTTCAGACGGCCACAATCCCAAGAGTGTCACCACCCAATTTCACAAGGCTTCAGCCCATGCAGAGTAGCACCAGACCACTTCAGGAGGCTGCAAGCTGTGCCCTTCTTGTCCTTCAGCCCCCTTTATGCCCTGCTGTTGGTGCAGTGCCCCTGTGTGCCCTCTGCTCCCTGTGGGGTTGGGCAGCACCCCTGGGCACTCCATGGCTCCTCACCTTCAATTTTATTCACCTGTGCTGCACAGCTGGAGCCCACTGGGGGTGAGGCTCAGCCCCAGCCCCACTCCCAATCACCACAAACTGTGTGCCTCCAGCAAGGGTCACGTGTGGTTTGAAAACTGGCCCAGGCAGCATCTGACATTTCCTCCCTGAGGTCACCCTCACAGGGGGAAGTTGACTTTGGCTGGAGCACTGTGTGTTCTGGCTAACCCACCTGGCAGGCAAACTCCCAGGGCACTCCTGGCAGGGTGAACCAGAGCAGCCTGAGGCTGCACTCTGATATTCAGGAAAGCCTGGGGCAGAGACACTGAGTCCAGCACAGAGCCCAGGGCCCCCATAAAAGCCCGAGCCAGCTTACAGGGAGGTTGGTGCCAAGGCTCCTGTACAACAGGGAATCCAGCTTGTTCAAAACGGTGTCTTCTGTGTCACTGCCAAACCCCACAGGATCTCGGGTCCAGTGCTAGTCATGCTGCTGGTGGCACTACACATTTATGGGGTCTGTTGTTGAGGCTCTGCCATTCAGTGCTTTGTTCAGGCAAGAAATCCAAGTTGGCTTAATCTTATTGTGTTAATAGATCTAAATATGGACATAAAGAACTTGAGCATACATAAGCACAATGAATATGAGGCTCTCATTCATTCCTGCACAGTACACAGTAAATTGCCAGCGCAGCCCTTTGAGATTACTAACATCTTTAGACTTGGCCTCACAAAGATTACACTCCCCACTCAGCAATTCAACCTCCTTCTAATACTTTTAAAACAGAGGAAAGGCCAAGACCTCTAGAGAAGATGCCAAAGATTGAATGGTTGGCCCTGAAAGCAGACCAACTGCAGCAGGCAGCAAAGCAAAGAGGCCATGCCAGCAGTGGTGCTCTCAAGGAAAGGAAGCACAGTTTCTGTTCTGGCATCCACAGCACCCAAACACTTACACACACAATGCAGGTCCCTGCAAGGCAACAGCCAGTATCTGCTTGGAAAGGGTCTTTGCTACTTGGAACTTTTTCAGGCTTTCTTAACACTGTGGCTTTTCTAAGGATTCCCTCACTCTTCTGGTTGTTATGGAAAAAATTAAATCACTGGAGCTCCCACACTTACTGGGCCCCAGAAAGCTGAAACGGCTAAGAGCCAGAATATACTGCATGATACTTTGTTTTCTTTCTAACAAGAAAGAACTTTTGTTTCTCTCCAAACAACAGTAAGCTCACATCAGGAAGTGAGCATTTGCAAGGCTGAAATCTCAACACGGAGCATTATTTAAATTTGTAGGGCTATTTAATGTTCGTCACACATTTGATCCTAACAGTGCAAATGATTTTCTATCAGAACATTTTTTTTCCACTTCAACAAGGAAAACTGCCCCTCCAAATATAAGCACTGCTTGTTATTTTGAGGCAGTGAGGCAAAACATACAGCACACAGACCACATTTGGCCTGCTTAGCAGATGTCTACAAATCACTTGATGTTAATTTCAACATAAAAGCTATTATATTTCTGGCCTCGCCCTATTAGTTGTTAAATAATTATTTATGCTTGGCAAATAAATTCTAGGAACCTTGAATAAAGCCCATCAACCCTACTAATCTAGCCATATTTGACACAACAGTTTGCACTCACAGAAGACCCAAGATGTAATGTTTGTTGCCTGTATGATTCTGTCTCACAACCTAAAAGGTAATCCCATATTTACATTTAAATGCAGACTGTACATAGGATGTGTTCCAACGCTACTTCCCAGGCAAAGAATGAGCTTGTTTGCTTTACTGACATTTGCAACTATACTATGGCCAGTTTCAGTTCATAACTCAGTTTATTTAAATCTGCACTCCACAACTCTGGCACTACTTAACACGTTTTTCCATAGGAGTTTTGGCTTTGCCTATCAAATTTGGCTGTATTTGTCATTGGTTAAGCCCTGCTACCCTGTGACCTTGTACAAAACAAAACAATAACTGGAAATACAGACTTCCCTTAATTAATATTTTTAAGCAGCTAACCTAACTTACAGGAGTGCTATTTATACACATTCAAAACTGTAGTTGTTGTGTATTCTGCTTGAATGGTTTGTGAATTCCAAATAGTCAATCTACAACAAGATTTGGAAAAGATACTGCCTGCAAGGCCCTGTGTGAAAGGCCTTCAACCAATCTTGGGACATTCATCTGCTGTTGTCTGAAGAAATGTAGCTGATTTTTTGTCGTTTGAAAGCACATTTTAGTGTAATTATACTTTTTTTTTTTATCCTTAACAGACCCTTCAACCAATCTTGGGACATTCATATGCTGTTGTCTGAAGAAATGTAGCTGATGTGTTGTCTTTTGAAAGCACATTTTAGTGTAATTATACTTTTTTTTTATCCTTAACAGACCAGAATTTAAAGATTTGGAAAAAAGAAGGAATTTGAACATTCCACTGAGGAGAACTAGTTCAATATGTCTATTTTTATTTCATCTGTCTGGTTAAAGGAGCACGGCTTCTCTATTATCACAATAATGTACATTATGTCTGCATTTAAGTTTATGTGCAGTTTATGATTTTGTGTGATAAATAAAAATTAGCGATGCAAAAAGGAGCAAAAGGAATTCACATTGCTTCCAGCAAACTGCACTTCCTGCCCTAAAAGCTGCGTGGCTTTGCTTTGCATCGTTGGCAAAATAAAGTTACAGAGATGCTTTCAGCTGATTTTGGTGGACATTGAACAGACCCCTTTGTCCTATGAAAGAGCCAGGAAAGAGCCAAGTTCCTCTGTTCCCCTGGATAGCCCCATTCCAGGCTGCTCTGCAGCTACAGCATTTATGCATCTCTCAGCCCTGAGTCCTTTCTACAGCTGACCTTGCACGGGGAGATTTTAACCCTGGGTTAAAAATGCTCAGTGAGAGCTCTGGGCTGTGTTTCACTGCTGCATCCAGGAGGCAGAGGTCGTGGCCAAAAGCAGGGTTTATTGTAGGGTTGGTTTTACAGTTTTTATTAATGGCAAGCCAGTTTCTCTCCACTGATGTCTGGGATAATGCAATGTATCCTTGAACTTCGTGTCATAAAGTAGCAAAGGTTAGCAACTGCTGAGGCAGAAAAAGTGAGGAGAAAAGACTGTAAATAAAATCATGTACATCAAAAAATACTTGTTAAACACTTGCCTTTGTGACATATGACTTTGATGTTATTATTTCCTTTGCTTGTTGATAACACATACCCACCTGTTCAATACAAACTGCCCAGCTAGCTAATACAGCAGGGTTTCACATGCTGCAGGTCCCCTAGTGTGGATAGCTAGAAGCAAACCAAAAAAGGTGGTGGGGGAAAGCAGCACCCTCAACAGAGCAGGGAACCAGAGTCACTAAATCCAACACTAGCCCTGCATGTGGCATTAACCTAGACAGGTCTTTTCTCATGCACACTTTTTTCCTCTGTGTTGGAACAGGGTTGCAGCTCTGAGGGAAGTTTTGCAATGTCAGCAGATTCTGAGATGAACTTTTGAGATCTTCAATTGCTATGAGTTTCATTAACAGCTGACACCATTGCTCAGGTTGCCTGCAGCCTTTTTTGCTTTTAGACATTGTTAATCATACCTCACTCTGTGAAAAACAGCAATAAATCAAAATCATAGAGAGATGCACTTTCACAATAAAGCCACCAGGAAACAAAAATTATGCCCTAGACTTAGGAGGAGGTCAATTCAATCCTGAAGAAGACATCCTAGCCATGGGAAGAAGAGGAATGGATAACTGCAGTCAAGTGTTTTCTCTGACCATGGTACTGCTCAGACACTGAACTGTGAGCAGGGTTTTAGTAGGTCTAGCAGTGCAATTACTACAAAATTTATTTTGAAGTGTGTATTTAATGTGCCAGGGCCTCAGGTATCCCTGTAATTCCAAGGCACCTGTTCTTTTGATGTGAGTTGAGTTTTAAGGAGATGCCATTCTCAGACAATCACACGCTGAAAATAGAAATGACAAAGAAATATCCATTAAATGCAAAGCAGGCAGACAGGCAAGATTTCCTGCAGATAATTAGGTTCAATATTTTCTGTCAGATGACTAAAAAACCTGACCTTATATACTTCTTTCTGGTGCAGTTTGTTTTTCTTAGGTAGGCATCCTAACAGGTGGTTTCCTCTGAAAGAAATAGTCCAGTGTAAACCAGGGCTGTCCATAACTTCAGATGCTGTGGCAAGGTTTGACCACAAACTGGATTACCTGAACATGGGCACCTAGGCACCTTTCAAATTGCACTGCTTGAGAGGCTGGCACAGCTGAGCAGTGCTGAACTGTTAAATCACAGAGAAATTAGAGGGGAAAAGATTAAACCTTGCAATCTGGGATTTGCAGGCAGACCTGTAAGAGTGGCAAACCCTCCTGTACAGATACCAAGGGATACAGATTAGCAGTATTTTAATCTCCAGTTAATTGATGCTCTCTATGTCTACTACCTTTAGCACAAATAAAATTTCGTTGTGACTTCAATAATTCTGTTTGCACTCTCCCCCATGGTTTGTCATTGTTTGAGACAAACCATGTTTTTATGATGAAGACTATTCAGTGCTGGCCCACTGAACAGCACAGCCTGCTTTGGGATCATGTCCCTCACAAACTGAGATCTAGCTGTGCCTGTGGTTGTCTGCACCAGTCTGTCTGTCACTCTCCACAAATCTCCACGCTGTCCTATTGGGGTATTTTCTCATTTAAAGGCTGGGGCAGTGCAGCTTTCAGTAATCAGCAACTTCAGCACAGATTACAGCACAAAAACCACATTTTCACTATTTAACTCCAAAAAAGAATGAATTCAGCAACAATTTCATTCTTCACCAAAGAAAAACAAAATGTTTACTTAACCAATTTCCTTGTCTGCTTTTTCTCTATCTTTAACAAAATCCTCCAGTTACTATTCGGAGGCATACCTTACTTTCACACATCC